GACGGCGACGTTGGTAGCTTCGCCCAGAGCCGTTGGCGAGACGCGGTTGCTCGTCGCAGGCAGGTCGAGGTACCATTGTGCAATGCAACTTTGGTTCGTAGGTGGCGTGTGCTTGCCGCCAGAGATGCTGGTAGTTGACGTGTGAACGAATGCGAGGATGACGTCGTTGTCGTCACCGGCGGTCCTGTCGTAGCGAGCAAAATATCGTTGGACGCGGCGTGTCGGCCTCGGAACTCTATCGACGAGCGTCGTATACGACTCTGTGGCGTTGGCGTTAGCCGGTGCAACGGCCATGCCGATGGCGATGGGACAGCACCGCCGTGGTCGACTCCCAAGGCGTATCCCATTGGCCAGAATATTCATATATTTGGCCAATCACGGTCGATTGGCTTCGCCACGCTCCTCGGGGAACGACCGCGTTCGACGCCCCAATCCAGTTTGAAACTAATTTGCTACAACTTGGCACATAGATAAAAGACTCTTTGGAGAGTTCGTTGCGCTATGTCGCATTGTCAGACGACGCGTACAACACGAGAAATCACCTCTGTTATTAATACTGGCAGACGCCAAGTATAGCCATATATAGTATCGAAATATGGTTATTATTGGCATGTGCTACGATGAAAAACCAAGCCTTAACTGCAAGGGCGGGAACGCGTGCGTCCACAACGCTCGGTGGTGCGCTCGTCGCGCTTGAGCTGCAACAAAGCTCCAGCCGTACAATCAGTTAGCCGGTTGGACTACCAATGGTGCCACCCCACCACTCGCCCGACGGAGCAAATGCAGCACCTTGTTCAAGTGTGTTTTGATCGATGTGGCTGCATCTGGCACCGGCCGCTTACAACGTAGTTTCTGTCCCGCCACGACTCGGCGCCGACGGCGACAAGGGCATTGCCAGACATCCTACCGTGTGCTCTGCCACCATAACCAAATAGAAGGTGATTTTTCAACGAATTGATTTGAATAAAATGGCATTTTCGATACCACGCCCTATGCGCGGAGCCAGAACGCTGGGACCATTTCAGTGGCCAAGGACAAGTCTGTCTAGAATTATGAAGGCTCAAAGCGCCATGTATTGGCTCGCGTTGAATATCTAGCTGATTCATGTTGGAATAAAACAGCAATTGTTGGCGAGTGACGTGCGCCAATATGTGCACCGCAGCTGCCTCAATGCGCAAGGCACCATCTCGACTGCAGCGCCTCTCCGCCGGCGCCAATGGCCAGCTCCAGCTCTCGACGCAGTCGTGGTCGATGGTCATCTACGCTAGACATCAAAACACACGCACCGATGACACCACTTAATCGTCGTCCCGCACAGTCATTGCGGCGCGGCAGCGGGCTGTCAAGAGCCACCGTTCTTACCGACGACTGCCATCGTGACAAGCGTGACGAGGCCTAGCATCCCACGAAGAGATGTATAAAGTCGATGCACCGAGACGACGACGTTGGTCGCTTCGTCCGATGCATTGTCGAGCGCCGATGGCGAGCCAAGGTCGAAGGTCCCAGGTCAAGACCTACAACGCCTTCTGGCGCGTGTCGTCCGTGGCGCGGTCGAGGGCGCGACGGCGCGTCTCGCGGTCCTTGACCTGGCGGCGAGGCGCAGGCCTCATGGTTTGCGTCCTGGTCGGTCACGTCGACCTTGCCGAAATTGGGGATTGAAGTTGGCTCCGGCAAGGATTATAGGATTATTGATTGTTTTCACCACAACCATACCAATCGCAAGGATACCTTTATATAATTCAAATTCGGACTTTTTCCCGGTGGGCGGTGTGATCTGATACAAATACAGAGTAAACGGTCGTCCTCGAACCTAGAACAAGGCCACCTGCCTTATCCTAGGATACATTTCGGATCTCACCGGGGTTGGCATCGCCCTGGATTCGGCATTAAACGCCGAATTAAATATCCGTTTTCGGCATCGCATGCCGAATGAACCCGCTAAATACGGCACATGCCGATGAAATACGTGGCAGTGTGCGGAGCGTCGATGGGTTGGCGACACGGATGCGAGCGACGGTCATCTCTCTCGCTAGTCTGTAGTTGGGTCAAGAGACGACGTTGATATTGATTGCCAACACCAAAACCAACTGCACATGTTGAGGCTGCAAAACACTATATCAATGTATCAACTTGTGCCTCACGCCGCCTAGGCAAAGATGCCCGTGTGATGACAACCAACACAAATGTATAAGGACAAAGGTACCTCGCTGCCGTTGGTGCTGTGCTCACGGATCGATTCGAGGCGCGTTCCTTGCGCAACCAAACCACTATCACTTGGCTTG